CTTTAGCTGTGGCACTCCTACTACACACATTTTTAGGAAGAGAAATCAACTGTCTGGTTCTGCAGATTATTATGCAATTTCTTTCAGAATGCTTGCTCTGGTGCCATCGTACATCTCCCTCCTACGGTCTTGAGTTCTTGCAGCGTTTCTTATTTTCTGGCATTTTACTTTGAATGATGATTTATGAAGGCAGCGTTTAGAGAAAGCGCTCTGTGTGATCTACCCTTGCATAGCGCTTCCAGAACAGCAATTTCAAAATTAATTGGAAGCCATCATATTTTCTGATCTTAAATTCGTTGTACTTTAATGATGGCTTTGTTTCAACTGAATGAAGTATGCAAACCTGTCTGTTCGTGTGCAAATGCTTGTATTTTGTTAACTAGTAGTCATTTTCCTGTCAGTCTAAGAACTTCTGCCACATGTTAAGACAGGAGACAAGACTGAGGTTGGATAATAGCTGTCTAGCAAAGATGAATTAATCTAGTCTAAGAAAATAATATTTATTTTGTCATAGACCCAACTTGGCTCGTGCCCCCATCACTCATCCTGATTCATTAGTTGACAGAATTAGGGCACTGTGACCTTTCTATACAAATAAAGTAATGAATGAGGCACTTCCATTGTTAAATTGTTATATTCATTGCATGCCCTTATTCTGCCTGTATGCTAATGGGGAGAGAGCTAGAGAGCTTACGTTTCTTCAGACCTTCCTGTCTCATTGAATGGCAGCCTTGCAATGCTTGTAAGAAGCAAGTGAAAATTACAGTGTCACTGATTGCTGCAAATAATGTAATGTTTTTCCCTTTAAGGTCTAAATAAGTATTAACTGCCTTAGAAAAGAAGTAGCCAATTGTCACTTACACAGTCCTAGTAAGTATGAATGCGAAGATACAGTTAAAAATATGGCGTAAGTATGTGAAAATGTCAGTAGTGCAATCAGGATGCTGAACACTGATCAGTGGGTAGGCAGTAATGACTGAGATGAGAACTGTAATTAGACCTTGATGCAGGGCCCTATTTCCTAGCATTGAGACCACCTCTCGAAGCCACCTTTGGCTCTAGAGATCATTGGTAGTAAGTGATTGGAGTCTAAGGGAGTACTTCAGGGGAGCATCATAGATGTTTGTCTGCTTCCTATATTATTTCCTATATTCTTTACTGATTTCTCCTCTTACAGTCAGGCTGATGCTCACCCCTAACAAAGCCCCACAGCCTCTCTAATGAAGGGGGTGAGTGGCTTAAGAGAAAAATGAAAAGTAGCTGTGTGATACTGGGGGGAAAACAAGGTAGGGAAGGATGTACAGAGGATCAGTAATGGTGATCCTGCCAAAAGATATGAAGGACTGAGGGATGGAAATAGAGTTCACAGTCACCACAGGATACTGGGAAAGACAGACCTTAGTCTGACGTAATGCAGCCACTCTTAGGTTTTGTCCTGTACAGAAATAAACTCAATTGGTGATAACTATAACAGCATAGTGCCAAGTGTGATAAAACTGCCTTTGCTTTCTCCTTAGCTGATGGAAAATAGGCATATGCAAGTGTGGGAGGAAGCAGTACAATGGGTGATTTGATCAATATATATATATACTAAATGAACAGTCATTCAGTGAGTTTACAGGGGCCAGAATATTCTTTCTGCAATGCGTGTTGGTCAGTCCTGTCTTCAGCTCCCTCCTTCGCTACTGAGTTGTTTGCTGGATGGCCCTTTTTCTTGCCCAAAAAACAGAGGCAAGTGGAGTTGACATAGAGCAAGAGCAGGCAAAGTGCCCCCTAGGGGAAGAGGAAGTTACTTTTTACTCCTACTTTTGAAAATCCACACATTTCTTTCATGATTCTTGTAGGTTTTAGTACTGATAAGTAGCTCTTAGTGAAAGAGGAATAGAAGTACTTGCATGTAAATTATATTCAAAGCAGTACTGTTAAAATAGCTGTTAGTATTTCTGACCCAAGCACTTGATTTTGTAATTTATTTTTGTTGTAGTATCCTTAAGTATACAATTTCCAATTGTAAAGGCAAGGCAGAAAAAGAAAAACTCGCTGTATCTTCTGACACAGCGATAGGAACACAAGCACCCACCTGAGTGAACATATGCAAAGTGTATTTGCATTTTATTAAATTTATTTATGGAGTAAAAAGGAAACATACAATGCAATGGTAACTGTATAATTCGATGTATTTGTGGGTTTGTTCAGTGTGAACCTGGAAGACAATGATTTTGTTATCCCCATCTTCCTTCTGTTTCTGCTCTGTGATTCCAACAGCTGAGTGGGTACATTTGATCAGAGGTACGCATAGTTATGTAATTTTTCACTTCAAAAATAATAACAAAAATAGTTTTAAGAGCTTTTTTTGTTTTCATACATTAGGAGGGTGTAGGTACTCTGAACCAAATGCTGGTGAATAAAAGCTTTCCAGTAAGACTCTTAAAAATAGCTGCAAAATATTCTTAGAAAGTATTTCAAGTGGTTTGAACGTTACCTATGATTACCAACTTGTGAATAGCTTACATTACAAAAGTACTTTCCATAGTAAATGCAGAGCCATCGAACTCTGCTTCTTTTTCATGAGTGAAGTTCTACTGAGGTGGGCGACTGGTGCTTGTTTCTGATACAACGGTGCTAACAATTCCAAAGAGCCCAAATGAAAGGCAAGCAACCACGACAGATTTTTATGAATGGTTTGGAATCAAAATTAATTTATTTATTTTCTTCTTCTCAACTGGAACAGCATTTTAAATCCCAACCAGAGATTAATTCTAACTGAAGGTTACAACCAAAAGCATTTAAGTGAAAATGGGTGAGGAGCAAATTCTCCAGACATTGTGCTTATACAGGCTGTGTATTTGACAGCACTGAGAGCAGCCTTTAAAACCTGCAGATTATAGAAGGAGCTTGGTTAGATTGTCCCAGCGCTTTTATTTTTTTGCTTGTGTGAAGAAGTGTGTCTACAAATGAGTTTCACAGAGTCGTTCTGTGTGAGGGTATTTTCTAGTACTTGTCCTAGCAGATCAGCAGGAATTTGAATGTGTTTCAGATGAGCTATTGCATTTACTTTCCACAGAAGTTCTAGTGATAGTTTAAAGTATAAGATTAGTGATTAGTGAGGATTTCTGACAATTGTGGTGGTGAAGGAGGGAGTTGGACACGTACACAGCGATAGCATGCTGGCTGAAATGGCCTAAAAGAATAAAAGTGGTGCGTATGTAAGAAATTACATTTTACTGTATATCTTTTGTGGGTGGTTAATGCATTTGGACTAACGTGGGTCAGTTCTGGGACACACAGACTTGCATGCCTGAAATTTACAGTGATGCGAATTTTAAACAGTTTGGGAAAGTTCCACTTAAAGCCACATCTTTTTTAATCGTTACGTTTTTAGCATAGGGAGGACAGAAAAGTTTTTAGCCCGAGGGTTTGTTCTAAAGAGGTATTCTGGAGATAGTGGATTTTCCTACTAGATAAAATCATAGTAGGTTATTGTTCAGTCACTTCTGTCTGGTCTCCCTCTGTGAGTTCTTCTGTAGGGTCTCTGATACCAGCAGCCATTGTATGTTACAATGAACAGAGTTTGACAGTGGAGGGTAAGGAGGGAGTTGTTGTATGGCATTGTATTCCTGGTCACTGTTACTAATGATGGATTTATTCCCTCCAAAATCCAAAAGAACGCTGTTCTCTTCCTATCAGATATTGTCTGTTTTCCTCAGTTGTCACTTTAGCATGGATTATACTGCTTTTTCTTTGTGCATTCTTAATGTTTGCTTTCTTTTTTCTGTACAAAGCAGATATTCTGGGAAAGCTAAGAAACCACTTGGATGGGTTTGCTTTCTTTAATAGCATTTCACTTGAGTTTTGGGTTCATTTGAGCTGTTTGTGATGGTAGAGTTCACTGATGGTCAAAGCTTAAACTCAGAGTTTGAGCAGCTTCCATTTGCGTTGCTTGATGATTTTTCATTTGGCTTTTGTGGAGTGACTGCTTTGTAAACTCAGTTTAAAATACAAATGGGAAGATTTAATAAGCTGTGCAGATGAGAAGAAAGAAGGTATTTATTCCATCGCTTACATTGATGCTTCCTAAATGCAACAGGTGGTCTATTCAAAACTAATACTACTACTTGCTTTTGGTAAGCTGTTGTGCAGGGCTCTAATTGCCTGTCTCTATGATCACCAGTGATTAGTGGAAAGTAGTGACTTCAGCATTAGAAGAGGTTGGAAACCTGTTACACGAAACTGTTGGAAACCTGTTACATGAAATTTTATGCCAAACATTTTTATTAGCCATCTGATAAATAGATATATGCAGAAAAATGTAACATTCTCTGCACAGTCAACTCATTTCCCATCATAGAACTGACCCCCCAGCATTATTGGTTGGCTGACATGTTCTTAGCAGTTGCTATTAAAGTAGTAGCACAGCTGTAAATTTCTTTGTAAGAGAGTTGAAATCAGAGTTGTTTAACTTTAGAATCAAGCAGATTAATTTTAAAACCCTCTTTCAATACCACGTTTGGTTTTTTTGTTTTTCTTTTTGCGAATTCAGCGTAACAACAAATTAGCATCAACACTAAGGAACATTTAAAAACATTTATTCCAGTTAAAATCCATTCTGAATTCATGAGGAGCAGAACATACTGTGAGCCTGCCTGTTGTATGAGAATAGTCTCCGTGCTGCTCGGCACAGCAGTTAGGTGTATGCGTGTTAGTCATACAAGTACACAGAAATCCAGAGAGACTTCCCGGTTGAAAAACAGCATGAGAAAAACATAGTACAAATACCAGAAAGCATTCGGTCTCTGTTTACAGTGGTTAGCAGATAAATCTGATGCCTGAATTTAATAAAAATTTCATTCAGCTCGAATAAGCCGGAGATGGATGTCGTTACGAGATTTACATACCATTAGCTCACATTAACCGATGAGCAGCCGAGCTGTGTGGTACGGGGCTGGTTGGATACGAGATCTGTGATGCCAGGACGCTGCCGTTAAAGGAGGTCTGCCGACTGCATGCTTGTTTCCTCTGCCTTTGTAATTACTTGATAAAATGAAGTGCATCGCTGTGAACAATAGATCCTTTGGAACAATCCAGGCTGGTCAGCAGTCTGAATCCACATTTTAAAGCCATCATAATTGCCTCAAACTTAAGAGTTTCCAGGGTGCAGACGAAGGTGTTGTCCTCCTTCAGCACAAGTCTCGTACCGTTTTCAGACTTTATGAAGTATTTGAATTGAATTATATTCGAAGAGACTGAAAACTCCTCTGGAAATCCATCCAGCCTGCTTTTAGACACCAGTACGATTCGGGATTTTATTTTTGCAATGAAATCAGGAGCGTTACAAAAGATCCGGAGCCCCTGCGAGCGGTCGTGGCTGTCAGTTATTTCCAGGAAAGTGGTCTCTCGAGATGCGAGCTGCTCCTTCTCCCACCTCGATTTCACTGCATCCGATAAAACCTTCAGCTGAAAGAAATCTGCTTCGTGTGCCAGAAGTTGATTTTCTCGAAACCCTTCCGGTAGAAGAAGTTCTCCATTTCGTAGGAAGTTCAGAATGTGTCTGAACAGGAGTCCATCTCTGTCTATGAAGTAATGTCCATCTGCATCAAACGGGCACATTATTTTTCCGTTGATGATACCTTCGAGGAAAGAATCTGGGTACTTGGTTAGTGTTTGTTTTTGCGTGATGTACAGATAGCCACCAACATTCAGAGTAATCAGAGACGTTTTATAGTCCTTGTCTTGCTCAGAGCCCTCGAAGTTGCTGTGGTTTTCTTCAGATTCCTTTGCTCTCCTGTTTGATTTTCTCTCCATTATCGAAGCAGGCACAGCGATCTTGCTTTGTTCTTGTCAGCTTGGAAAGAGAAATTTTTATTTAAGAGCACCTTTCTTCAGCTCAGGCACGATGTTGGAATGGAAATGCTGCTAGCATTGCTCGGGCTGTCAGCTGGGTTTTGCAGTAGGTGGCGTATCAGCTGTGTATGCAGGGAGATGGCAGGAATATGACTGTAGAGGGAATTTGCATTTAACTGTGTGAGGGAAGGAGGGGATAAAAACCACTTCTCTTTCTGTCCTTACACCTAGGAAGTTTACAGAGTTTCGAGAGTTCCGCGCAGAAATGAGTAATGCTCTTCTAAAGGGCACCTTGTTTTTAATGCTTTGCAATGTGTTTGTAGTATCAGCTGGCCAAATTGTGTGTAATGCTTCTGGAGTTAAACACTCCTCTTCATTTACGGTGCAAGGTGCAAGGATCTCAGTTTGTTTGGAGCTTTTTTTCACATTTTCCTTGTATTAGGTATTGGTGTGTGGTACCTGCTCGTACAGCAGGGCAGCACAGAAAGTGAAGGCATCCCTAGTGGTACATAGAGAGGTATCAGTTATGGTTATTCCTCACGTATAAGATGTGTGTGTGGCACTGAGATGTTTTCATACTGTTACTTTGGAAGTGATGCTGAAGACTTGTCGGTCTGGTGAGTTTTTGTGATGAAAGCTTCCATTTTCAGCTGATGGAAGCATTCCGCACCAATACAAGCACTGCGGCAGCCTAATGAGGTTTGGCTTTATCTGTGCCATAGATAAAAACTGTTTTGGAAAGGAGAGCGGTTTGCTGTTCACATGCATGGTGTGTAAGTCACTGAGTAGCATAATTCCTTCTTTTTCAATAGCAACAACGGCTGCCCCGTGGAACAAAGGGTTAGTGTGCTCACAGACAGCATACTGAACATCACCTAACATTACAGCTTAGCAACACTTGTGTATGGGGGGAGCAGCGGCAGCGGCAGCAGCAGCAGAGCGTGCTACAATCAAATGGCTGTCTTCTCTCTGTGAAGCTTCACTGAGGTTGGCTTTTGGGCTCCTTTTAGGAAAGGTTTCTCCTTTAAGTAGGGAGGGGAAGGCTCCTCACACATCTGTGTGTACATTTCCTGGGGCCGTGAGGAACCGGCGGGTGGCAGGCACCGCGTGCATCCAGGGCAGTGAGCAGTGAGCAGTGTGAGCAGTGAGCACTATGTTGGGCTGGCCGGGGGGAGCAGAGCCCATCTTTGTCCACCTGAGTTTTTCACTTCTACAGGTGAATGCCTCCTGCTTGGGCCCAATAAACAACAGAAAGTCAGATGATCCTTTTGTGAATTTTTCTGTTCTGTTTCTAAAGATACTACTCATACTGTTCTCACTGTCTCTAAGGCTGTTTATTGATACTGTGGAATCATCACTATAATATTTTATTAATTGGCAATTAAACCTAGTAGAAATAAATGCACTTTTAAAATTCAGCCTTGCCAGGGTATCCCTACCACTGATACTCTATTTTTTTCTGCTGCTGCGTGTGGTTTATTAAACAGATATTATTCATTAGATTTTTTTTTATCAGGAATTAGTCATGGTTTTAATGTTAACTCTTTGGGACCACTGAAGTGTTTAGCATTGTTCAGTCAGAGATTTCAACCACTTTCTGATCTTTAAACATTTAAACTTTTATTTCCCAAATCAACTCCATTCACAATTATTGAGTGAATAATCAAGAAAATGAAAGGCTGGAACAGTTTGAATTTTATTTTATTTTTTATTTTTTGGTCATTGCAAGAGACTTCTGTTCAAATTTATTATCCAGTGATGGAAAAGTCAGCTAATGTGCTTATGTCGTATATAATTTAGTGTTAAATATAGTGTTAGTGGTTCCTAGGAGAATGATTTCTGCAGTGCTTTTGTCTTGCATGGTGTTGTTGAAACACTTTGAAGCTGAACAAGTAATGTCCTGGCAGAATTAAGCAGGGATTTCCAAGAAGCTGAGGTTTGTAAAGGATAGGAGAGCTGAACTCTCTACATTTTAAGAGGCAGCAGTTACAGAACAATATCTGGGCTCTTTTGATTTTCCACATTCGTAATCTTCTGAATATTTTGATACTTAGAGTTGAAATTTTCCACTTCCATGAGCAAGTACATATTCTTTGAAAGATCACACTAAATCATTCTAGTGGTTCATATGATAAAATATTCAAAATCTATTTGATATGGCAAATAGACTGTGAAGATCATGAATATATGCATTTAAACCTTTGAGGCTTGAAACATTTAGAGTTGATGTAAAATTTTACTCGTGACAGACCCATGCAGCTTTACTTCACTGCAGCTGACAGTTGTCTGTAATACAGAATTTGAGGCTGGCACATCTTTGTGACAACCCTCCTCTTCCTGTGATCTACTGTAAGATGTCTGTTCCAAAGAGTCCTCATTCTTCGCATACACTCGATGATGCACGCACTATTGCAGTGCCTGTAGGTTTAGTGAAGTAGAAGATATTTCAGTGGCTTCACGTAGCTCAGTGTACGCCAGAAGAACTGGATTCCCTTTTCCCTTCCTCTAGAAAATTGCCCTGAGGTCCCTTTTGGCAAAGGTAGGCAACTTGCATGCAAATCTAGAGACTTCACCTAGTTTTCTGCTCACAGAGTCTGTGTGATGTACTGGGAGTGGCGGGAACTGCACTCAGTCCTGTCAGTCCTTTCTGCTTCCCACTGGGACTGAACAACTTAGTGCTGAATGCTGTCCCATGCCACAGGTGAACTGCCTCTGTTTGTGCGCTGTACAACTGAATTGTGCTTGCTGATGTTGGTAGCTAGAAGTCCTGAAGTAACCATTGCTTTCCAGGCTGCTAGTGTGTCACTTGGTCGCTGGAACTGATCAGTTGGGTGGCACTGTCACCCTACAATTATCCAGTTTCTTCTCAGACACTGTTCTAGAGATGGTAAAAATGCAGTTCTGGAATCTGTCAGCTACAAGGGAAGCAGAGCTGAGGATAATGGAACTGGGGAGCTATCCCTCATTCTGACTGATGTGCTTCTTTGTGGAAAAAAACCTTCCTCTTCTTCAGCCTCCATCTTTTTTCTGATTGCTGATCAGGAAGCAGCACCTGGTGGAGCTTGAGCATGCCTCAGAGCTGAGGATCTGGTCCTGGAGCACATCACTGGAAAACCAGTGCTTTACCAAGGCTTCATCTTACACATCTGAACAGCATCAGCTTGACTGAGATTCTGTTATCAGTGAAATTGTCTTGGATTACAGAAAGCAGCTAATTTTATTTCAGTACAGAATGATAACAGGGGAAATCTACAGCTAAAAGAGGTGGAGAATTTTTGAAACATGTTAGGAAGCCACACTAATAAAATCTGTTTGGGTTATTGAGGAAATGCATTAGGCATTTAATGTTGTAACACAGAAAGCTGGCCAGGTTGTTGGGACAATTAAACCATTCCGTAGTTACTGTCTCACAGTAATAGTAGCATAGCCACTCTCATCCCAATAAATATTTGCAAGATGTTCATTAATGGCTACTGAAGACAAGCTCTGCACACTAATTAAAAGTGAAGAACTTCAAGTAAGAAAGTCTGAACATTCAAGAGTTTTGTCTATGAAATTTTACTAGCACTTACTGTTGATATTTTTCATTAACTTTTGAGCGCTGCAAGACTGAAGAAGCAAATGCTATGCCAGCATTCAAAAGGTAAATTGTATGACCCAAACAAAATTAATTGACTGTATGAAAAATAATAAACATCTGACTTGGAAATCAATCAGTTCAAAATTAAGGGAGAAAGATATGGTGCTCATCTATGTGAGTGTAGGCAAAATAGACTGGCCAAATGTTTTTTCCTGTTTTTGGTTGTAATTTGCTCAGCAAAGGAGATGATGCTTTTTTCTTTTCACCTCTAAGTAGATACTGCTTGTCAAAATGCAAATTATATAGATTATGAAACTATATAAAATACAAAAATTGTCTGCCAGGTTTCAAGCCAGTAAATATTAAGCAGAGGCTTATCACCTATACATTAATGTGATTTGGTTCTTGGTTCTCGAGCAGTGATCAAGGAGATAGTTACTGCTGAAGTCTGGAGATGATACAGACTGAAAGTGTAGTAGACAAGGAGACACATTTGGAGAAGAGGAGGCTCAGGGGAGGCCTTATGGCTCTCTATAACTAGCTGAAGGGAGGTTGTAGTGAGCTGGGGGTCGGCTTCTTCTCTCGTGTAACTGGTGATAGGACCAGAGGGAATGGCTTCAAGCTGTGCCAGGGGAGATTTAGGCTGGACGTTAGGAAATGCTACTTCTCTGAAAGAGTGGCCAGGCACTGAATGGGCTGCCCAGGGAGGTGGTGGAGTCACCGACCCTGGAGGTGTTCAAGGAACGTTTGGATTTTGTGTTGAGGGACATGGCTTAGTGAGAACTGTTGGTGATGGGTGGATGGTTGGACTGGGTGATCCTGTGGGTCTTTTCCAACCTTGGTGATTCTGTGATTCTGTAATTTCTGACAGATAATCGTTTGTGTACTTGGCAAAGACAATATTTTAATATGGCTAAATATAAAGTTTATATGCTTAGGAATCATAGAATCAGTAAGGTTGGAAAATACCTCTAAGAGCATATAGTCCAACTGTCAACCCATCACCACCATGCCCTAAATCCATGTCTCTTAAGTGCCACATCTACTTGCTTCTTATCATCCTGTTCTAGTGCCTTACATCCTTTATGAAAAGAAATACAGTGTAGTCAGGGCATGTCTATGTGTTTGTGGAAGGAGAAGGACTGTGGTATTGTCCCGTGTGTACTGAATGCATCATGATCAACTGAAGTGAGGTCATCACTGTGGGCAGTGTGCAGCAAGCTCTGGTTCCTGCCCCGTGTATCATCAAGGAAGAGATATGAGTGAGCTCAACTTTCTCAGACCAGTTAAGAAACTGAAAAATAAGCCTACTAGAAGATTTGAGAAAACATGGCCTGTTAAGCTTAATGGAGGTGGAAAATACGTAAGTGCCTGGGTGGGCAGGAAATTTTTATATGCAGCTCTTCAACTTAGCAGTCACTGGTCTGACAAGGTCTAGGTGCTGGAACTTAGAGCTAGGTGCAG